CTCCCCTCCACCCCAGCCTCCTCTCCTCCACTCCAGCCTCCCTCTCCTCCACCCCAACCTCCCTCTCCACCCAGTCTCCAACCTTTCCACATAGCCCCCTCCCCTCCACCCAGTCCCCTCCCTTCCAGCCAGCCTTCCTCTCCACTTAGCCTCCATCCCTTCCACCAGCCCCCTCCCCTCCACCCAGCCTGCTTCTGTAAGGTGATCCAACAGAGTGAGGTGTCCAACTTTATGGAGAGGAGCCTGGACCAAAGCCTATGCCCACCCACTCCTCCAGTGACAACCTGTGATGCATGTTGTGCCCGAGGAGGCCTGCCTTGTCCCACTGTCCCACGGGTTCCCTCAGAGCAGGGCGATTTGTTGAGCCATACTTAGGCTCAGAGAAGATCAGCGGCTTGCCCCAGTCACACGGTCACAGTGAAACACCCACCCATCTGGCCCTGGCGTGTCCCCTCCTGTGCTACCCCCCACCCCCTCTATCCCATGGAGGCTGTAAAGAGGGGAGCTGAGTGTGGTGTGTCCACTCCCCCCAACCACCTCCACCCCATGCAGACCAGAGCACTGCAGGGGAGGTGGGGCTTTGGCAGAGGCCAGGGGCTGGGGCCAGGTGGGTGTGGGTTTGGAGTTAGGGGAGTGGGAGGCTGGGAAGGTGGGCGGGGGGTCAGGTGGCCTCACTACCGGCCTATGGAACTTGGGGGCATTGTTTAGATTCAGCCCCTCTGAAGCTCTGGGGAGGTTTCCCACTGACCAGCGTGGCTGGTGTGAGCCCAGGAAGTGGGTCCTTACTGTCCTTTCCCAGGGAAGAGAGCTCTCTAAGGGTCCTGGGTAGGCTTCTCCCAGCAGAGAGGCGAAGGAGGGAGGGAAGAGAGGGGAGGAAAGAGGAAGGGAAGGAGTGAGGGGGCTGGAGGGGAGGGGGCTGGTGAGGGTCTTTCCTTTCCCTGGGCTCCAAGGCCTTCACACTATTGGTTAGAGAAGCCCACCAGCCTTGGGCTGCCCACTTCTGGTCTCCTTGAGAGGTCTGGCGACTTGGCTCCCCCAGGGAGGGGCCCTGGGCTCGTGTACAGTGTCAGGGAGACAGAGAGTCCAACGAGTCCGCTGGCAACTATGTAGGGAGGGGCAGGGGCCCGGGCTGCTGTGGCCCCTCCTCTGATTCTCATGACTTCCCCTGCCCCCTGGATGGACAGAGCCAGTTCTTCAGTCCTCCGGGGCCTAGGTTCCTGCTGGACCGGCCTCGGGGAGGACTGCCAGGGACAGGGGCCAGAGGACCTCTGGGCAGAACTTGGGATTTGGCTGATGCTACACAGTGGCCTGAGGGGCATGTGTGTGGGCAGCCTCCTGTGGGTGGGCTCCAGTGGAGGGGGGGCTGTTGGGGAGGCATGTGGGGAAGGGGTTCTGGTTCTGCCCACCCACCTTCTTCGATCCTCAGATCCCCATGGTAGCCAGCACCTGTTGCCACTGCCCCTTGGGCTGGACCATGGCTGTGGCTTTCTTGGAGTGGCTCTTTGTTAGAATGCCACACTTGCCATGAAGGGAGTCCAGAAATGGGAAGACGGAGCAGCCAGGACCACGTGGGCCCCCTGCCTCTGGTCCCATTCGTCCATGAGTTCAGACAGTTGGGTCAAGTCTGTGCTAGATGTTGGACACCCGGGGATTGATCAAGGCAGCCTCTGTCCTTGGGGAACTTCCAGGCTCGTGGGAATGGGCTGGCCATGTATGAAGATGTTCTGTAGGGGTGGCAGGTGTTTTTAGAGGTTACCTGCAGCACACAGATCAACGAGGGTGGGAATCGCCTTGGCGGCACATAACTCGGTATTTGGATGTTAGTTTTCATATCATGAGAAGGAGGGGGTGATTGGTTTCCTTGGTGTAGGGGTGTGTGGAACAGGCTTCCTGAGGGGGGAGGATAGGACAGACAATGATAGCTGGCCCAGCATGGGCCAGAGCTGGCTTGGGGGTTGGTGGATGGAAAAGCTAGCTGGTGAGCAGGGCCCAGAAGGAAGGGGAGAGTGTCGGGAGAGTGCCCGGCTCCGGCGATGGGAGATGGATGGATTGTTCTGTGGGCGCCTACGGGAAGCTTCACCCCCATGCACGTGACAAGGAGCTGGGTTAGATGCTGGGAAGACAGTTCCCACTAGAGGGTGCCACTGGTTCTCAGGCTGGGCTGCCCTTCACAGGGGTTGGTGTCAGGGCAGCCCCCCACATTTCTGATGTCCTCAGAGCC